TATAAAAAGTTTAAAGAGCGAGTTTAAACTAACAGTGAATGCTTTAAATTGCTTTCTAGGCATGCAATTCTTGCAATTAACTAATTGCGCTCTCTTTATAGGTCAACGAGCTTACACTGAACGTATCTTAGAGCGATTTGGAATGGAAAACTCACACGCTGTGGCAACACCTTGTGATATCAGTGCAGAGCATTCCGAACCTAATCCCGATTTGGATGCAACAGTTCCGTTTCGTGAGGCGGTAGGCAGTTTAATGTATCTGTCAATCGCTACAAGGCCTGACATCACTTACGCAGTTAGTGTGGTTTCCGAAGCTTTGGCAAAACCAAGAATGTCCGATTGGCGGGCTGTCAAGAGAATTTTCCGCTACCTAAAGGGGACCCTCGAGTATGGACTTCTGTACCAGCCAAACTATAATGTTGGAAAACTAGAAGCCTACAGCGATGCCGACTATGCCGGGGATGTACAAACTAGACGTTCTAGAACAGGCATGGTCTGTAAGTACGCAGGAGGAGCAATCACCTGGTTAAGCCGGAAACAGAGATGCGTGGTCTTATCAACGACCGAGGCCGAGTACATTGCTGCGAGCGAAGCTGCAAAAGAAATCGTCTGGTTAAAACTACTTCTTTCCGAAATTACGCAACTGCAAGCTGTTCCGTGTCTGCAAATTGACAATGCGAGCGCTATCAAACTAGCCAAAAATCCAGAGTTCCACAAACGCTCCAAACACGTGGACATCAAATTTCACTTTATCCGTGAAAAATACAACGATGGTGTAATCACTGTGAGCCATGTAGATGGAATTAACCAAATTGCTGACATACAAACGAAGCCACTTCCGCGTGTTCGATTTGAGAAAATTAGAAACATGATGGGATTACTTCCTTGCAAGGCAACTAGTTTTGTGAATAATGAGTGATCAGTGACGATATGTTTTGAGAGGAAGTGTTGAGGTTATGTTATTCAAAACATTTTCAAGTTTAATTTACCATAGATTACCTACTATTGTATTACCATAGATCACTAGTACTAAAGTAACATGTAATCAGTGTTGTAATAGGTACTTTTATTTCAGTATCTAGGTACAGTTACAGGTACTTGAACAAATAAATACTTAGGTACAGGTATAGGTACATATTTGTCACAGTACCTAGGTACAGGTACAGTTACAGTGTAAAAGTACCTAAAAACTGTAAGTAGGTACTTTAAAAAGTACATTGAAAAAATGAACGCTGTTAAAGAACTTTAATGTCTATTCTAATTTCACAAAAAAGTAATACCTACATACAAATGTACTCATACCTTACAGATTAATTGTGATTTGTGATATTACTGCAATAGGTCTGTTTGGTGACGTAAGAGAAGAAGAATTTCAAACATTTCATCGGAAAGACGGTTTCTTTTAGGAGTCAGAATTTGTCCTGCCGTACTAAATAGCCTTTCAACTGGTGCAGATGAAGGCAAAATAGTATTATAAATTTTGTATACTTTCATAACGAGGGGATAATTCAATAAAGATAGCTTATCCTTTGATTTGTCTTGAAAATATCTTAGGCATTCCATCTCAACGATACTTTTAAAAGCTGCGGATTCCACATATTCTTTCTCTGACAAATGCAAGCTTGACGTTGGACTAAGAGGACTTTTAAGAATATCGAAGAAATCATCATCTTCGCTGCCAGCAGAAGCAGCGCCACTTTCCTCTTCATAGGCTTTAGCAGTATCTCTTTTAGAGGCTTTTTCACATTCAGTAATGAACAAGGATTTGATAAGCTTAGTTGTGCTCTCAATAAGGTTCACATCTGATGTTGTTGAGGTTATCCACTTTAACTTAAATTTTGGTATCGAAACAGTGGCCAAAATATAGGGTTTTGAGGTACTGCTATTTAAATTCAAAACCATTTATCATTTATCTTTGAGATTTTGATTTTGTTAAATGTTAATGTACCTAAGGCTTGTAGGTATTTAGGTACCGTCAAAAATGTATCTAGGTACAGGTATAGGTACACTTTTTTTTTTGTACCTTTGCAGGTACTTAGGTACTAAATTAGTACCTTAGGTACAGTGCCTAGGTACTTGTACCTAGGTAAGTTACAACACTGCATGTAATGGCGGTGTCAGGTGGAAGTCCAATGTTTTGTGTTTTGTAGTAGACTCTTAATTTTGTTTTTACTTTACTTGTATGTGTAATAAAATCGTGATCAACTATTCTGTTTCAATAAAATCTAATGCCCCCGTAGGGTCACACCGAGGTGCTCTGCCGCTTTTTTAGATCCGCTTTAGGGGTTTATTTCTACAGCCTTGCTTATTGAATAACAGTTAGTGAATTTTAAAAGCCTAAACGTGCGTACCGTTTAAAATACCAAAATGGATTCTCGATACAAACACGATCCGCACCCAACAAATAATTTATGTCTCTTTTCAATCCTATTTTCCGGGGTGAAGGAAGACTTCCTGAGACTCGGAAAACAACATTCGTGCCGTGGTGCACACAATATTTTAATTATCCTATTTAATATGATCTAAGCATACGTGCATCATTTTAATTGTAAGTGTATAGGATAATTAAAATAATTCATATATATATATATATATATATATATATATATATATATGACACTTTTTGACATGCGGTAAGCAAAGCAAACGCCAAATATATATATATATATATATATATATATATATATATATATTTTTGGCGTTTGCTTACCGCATGTCAAAAAGTGTAATCTGTAATATTGTGAAGGAAACCTGTGAAGCCATTTGGAATGTTTTGCAACCAGAACATACACTTCAACACAACCTTCGACATCGAAGGCAAAAAAATCACGATAAAAGGGAACCCACCTCATCTTCTTCCTCTGGAATAGATACCATTCTATCCCCCCAATCAGAAGGGGAAACGGGTGACAATGTTGACGTCCACCTTGACGAGACAGTGGTACCCGAGGTGGTTACCCCTTTCCCAAACCACCCCACGTAGGAAAAAAGGTAATTAACTTTATAAGTACCTACATATTTTATAACTTTAAGGGGTGAGCACCACAAAAGGGGGTGAAATTGAAGCTGTGCTTGAATCAGTCAGGCAAATTGTGACTGCCATAGAAAAAAAGTAGCAGTCAGGTTCTAAACTAGAACCACACTTTTGTGGAATATGTAGATTCACGATTATGTGAAATGAGGACCTTGATGCAAAAAGGGGATGTCACCATTTTACCAAAATAGAGTTATATATCCCGTTTTAGTTTTTATGAAATTTGCAATCGTTTGGTGCAAGGATGGGACAATTTAATTTAAATATACTTTTGACTCATCCCATACCTCGTCTTTGACGCAAAAAGGGGATTCAGATAGATTTATCCCATTTTTGCGCCAATCTTTTCCCTCGTAACGATGAGAGCGCCAACAGATCGCTAAGATGCACAGTTTAACGGTGTTAGGTAGGTCTTTACTTAGTGATATAGTTGCTTTCGTACTGGTAGGTTGTTTCGGTTTTTTTCGTTCTCTCCTTGGCGTCTGAAGCATCTGACCCATTTCAGGACACGGGAAGTGAATATGAGTCGAGTTCAGAAAGTGACAGTTCAGTGAGTTCGAATGCAGGTGGTAATGCAGAAGTAGAAGCAGGCCCCAATATGTCTCTATTTTGAATTTTTCTGATCCTTCCAGTACCACTGTTTTATATTAACAATGCACAACAACTATTAATAATATTTAATGAAAGTAAACTAGTGAAAACATTACATTACTACCGGTAAATTCCTAAGTACTACTTAACTTACATATTACCAACTTGTTGCCAACTCTAATATATATAACACCTTCCCTTTTAAACACTTGTCTAGTTAAACTAAACTCAAAACAACCTCATGCTTCAATTTCATTTCAATTCATAATAATTAAATTTTGTTGGTGGTTTGGAAACCCTGTTGCTCCTTCTTGGGGCCAAGTTTGTACTATTATGAACTGGTTGAATGTTGGTTTGTTTATTATTATTATTATTATTAGTTTGAATCGGATTTTCCCGATGCTATTCAAAGTCGAGAAAATCTTGTTTCATTTGATGATGTCCACGCGAGGGTCTAATGATTACTGTTTCTTCGTACATACCGACCATTGTTTTGTTGCACAATGTATGACCTAGGTGTCTCCAATTTTCGCGTGATTACTGCTGGTTCCCAAGTTTTGCCATGTTGAACAACTACATTAACTTTTTCTTGAAACTCTCTCCTTTTCATTGCATGTCTGTGGTAGTAGTTCCTGTATATCACTCTCTGTCCTTCTAGCTTCTTCTTTTCTTCCTCAAAATTTACTGGATTTGGGATTGACATGTTGTTAGCAGAAGGTAGCTTTGTTCTTAAAAATCGGTCCGTTAGCAGTTGAGCAGGAGATTTATCTGTTCCTGTGACTGGAATGTTTCGACATTCAAGAAGGGTATAACAGTATTTCTGTGCAGGATATTTAAAGTTTATTTTTACGTAATTAAAATGTTAAGTCTAAATGTAATTAATCATGACTCCCAAGTACGAATGAGAATAATAATAATAATAATAATAATAATAATGCCTTAAATTGGCGAAAGAAGAAAAATACATATAAAAAATGGTGAAATGGGGCGAAGTTCAGTTCTACAGTAAGATACCGTAGTCTGCTCTACCACTTAACCCCGTACATTACATGTATACTACAAATATTTCAAAATGGTGTTGCTTTAATTGCATAGATGGTTACTACTCTAAACATTGAACGTTAAGCCACTTTTCATAAGCGAATAGAGTTTGTTTTTGAACCGAGCACTTGTAAACTGTTTTACGATGTCTGGTACCTCATTATAGATTTTTACAATATAATAAGAAAATGCTCTTTTGAAATATTGGGAATTGTGAATCGGTGGTGTCAGCTTGCCTTTGTACCTTAAATTGAGGTTGTGAACATCAGTACGAAAGGATATTTTTTGATATAGATATTCAGCCTTATTCTGGTGACCACCGGTATGTACGCAATGTTGAAAACATTTCAACAGAGTTTTCAACGTTGCTAACAACGTTGATTGCAAGTTGCAATTTCCGTGACGTATTGTTTTTAGTGTTGATACGTTTTCAACGTTAAATTTTTTGCCAACTGTAAAACAGTGAAAGTAGTTCAAACAGTTCGTAATATTACTAAAATTCGCGGGTAGTAGTCACATCTCTGGTAGTTCTACGTACTTCTAACCTAATAGAAATCAAACCCAAAATTTTTTCGTTTTGTAGTTTATAAGTGTTAATATGAATAGAAAGAAGACTAGCAAGTCTCAGTTTAAAATATATTTATCATATTTAAAGAGGCATGATATATTAATAACAGGAAAGTTGACTCCATCCACAAACACGGAGGGCCTAAAACAAATTTGGAATGAAATGGTCGCCAATCTTAATAGTTGTGGGGATGGTCCTGTGAGGAATATAGAGGGATGGAAAAAGGTAAGTGATAACATATAGTTTAGTAGATACATTATGTTACATTTGATAGGTATTTCGAGAATGGAAATGTATTATTAGAAAAAAAGCGAGAGAAGGAAAAGAGTTAAACGAAATTGAGCACGAACTAATTCGATTAACGGGCGAAATTGCTGTTACCGGATTAGATCATGTTGAATTGGGCATTACTGAGGGCATTAGCAATGAAGGTGAAACTGCAGAAGCTTCTCCAGATGTTGATTTCGACATTGAAAATTTAGAGGTTTGTGGAGTATACACATGTACATATGTTATGGTAATTTGTCACATAGGTAGTGCAAGAGGATGAAGAGCGATTATCTGATGAAAATCTACAGCCCACATTACATAAAGAAAATGCAAATGCTGCTCTGCCGTCTACCTCTCAAAAAAAACGTAAAAGTAAGTTCCACATTTATTTTATTGGTAATTATACTACTCAAATTCTGTTTCAAAAATGTAGAATGTACGGAAAATCCCTTACTGAAAGCCTATGTGAATGCGCAAGATGAAGCAAGAGATGGCATGACAGATATTGCAAATGCTTTAAATAATATAGCAGCATCAATAAACAGATTTTGTGATGTGTATGAAAGAGTAAATCTTGATATGTAAATTTATTATGTACTTACATTTAAGGGTTGTGTAATACATTTTTTTTTGAGGAAATATTAAAAGGACTACCAAAGAACAATATAAAGTTTATTTAACTTATCTTCAAAAAAATAAACATACTTTACAAATACCTAAAGAAGATTTCCAAGTGATGTGTCTGGAACTGAACTCCATTGATGGACCAAAAAAGACTATTCATGAATGGCAGCAGGTAAACATTGTGCAAAGTGTTAATTTAATGTGTCTGTATAAAAAATGTGTATACTACCAAATTACAGACATTTTATGAATGGAGTAGTCGAACAAAAAAAAAAGCTCGAGATAATTTAAGATACATGATGGAGACTGGAGGAGAACCTGGACTTGACAATTATTTAAATGACATCGAAGAATTACTGATAAGCATACTGAAGTGGGTTACAATCAATGGCATGAATGTAAGTGAACTAGGCGTTTATAAGTCTAAGACTGTGTGTACCAAAGTAAGGAAAGAGATGCATCAAAAGAAAATGACTATTTCTGTGGCACCAAATACAAGAAAACGTAATTTCCTAATGCAATTTGTTATAAAAGTACCAGTTTTCTTTTAGGACCTAGACTTCTTCAGAAGCGTATTATGCATACTTTTGATCTTAAACAAAAGTTGTATTTGCAATCCATCAAGGAATTAAGAACTGCCATTATAAATTTGTTTACTTCCATTGATAGAGTAAGTAATTTATACATGAATATGCATATTAATGATTAAGTAACTGTAACTATTAATTAAAATACATCCGCACTATTCTAGTTCGTACTTGTTCACCCTGATACCTCTCATGTCCATTTTGTAGCTGTTGCTGATCATGTTCATCTTGTACATATTCATCTTCTGGAACATCTAAAGGTAAAATATGAATTAACATTTGACTTCATCAGCATTCGGCATTACCATCAATTAAAGCTTGATCTCCATGCAATATACACATATTGTGTAAAACAGCACAACTATTTACTATTTTAGCTGCAACTGGTGGGCTGTAATGCAAAACTCGGTGTTTAAGGAGACACCGAAATCTTGTTTTAAGAACTCCGTTCAACCTTTCGATCACATTTCTTACACTTCTATGTGCAATATTATAAGCACGTTTTGCATCTGTATCAGGAGCTGTTATGGGTGTCATCAGCCATGGTTCGAGTGGATACCCAGAATCGCCTTCAACAAAACTTTGTATAGATTCCCCATACATGTACAGTGATTATAATACCAAGTAAATAGGAGGTATGGCCTGCTTGATAACTATTATATAAATTTTGTCGTATTTGGCTTGTGCCCCAAATAGCTGCATCATGAACTGATCCGGGATAACGAGCATTTAATGCTAATATTTTTAAATTTGCATCACATATCTGTCACAAAATTATTTTGTTTTCAAATCAGATTAAAAAGCTATGAATACCTACCTTACAATTTGTACATTAAGGCTGTAGTATCCTTTTCTATTATAAAATAATATTGCAGGATAATCAGGATGATTAATTGGAGGAGCAACTATTGCAATGTGTGTGCAATCAACAGCACCAACAATACCTGGGAACCCATGGGCCATATTCATAAAACTATAATTTGGAATGTGTATGAGCGTTATAGTTGCAAATTAATTACCATACCCTTGCTTAACAAGCGTTACTTCCTCTTGTGTTTGTGGAAAACGTACATAATGGTACAAATTTTCCAAAGCATTAACAACAACTGTTAAACATTTACTAACAGATGACTGGCTCATACTTGTACAAAAATCTTGCCCGACGGCTTTTTGGTAGCTGGCATGGGCAAAAAAATGCAACGCCACCATAATCTGAAAATAAAGAAATTCATTCCTCATTTATAGCATCTAAACTAAATATATAACTTACTTTTAATTTTTTCGGGATAAATAATTCTTCACGTTCTGCATCTTGCAAATGAGGCGAGAGCTCTAAAATGAGATTATGTACCATCTTTCTCGACAATCGGTACAGTGATCGAAACTGAGTTTCTGGCATAGACATGGGATCACTTTGATCCCGTAAATTTCGTCGTATTAATGCAGCATTATTTCTAGAATGAAAAGAAATTATTAATCAAGTGATTAGTACCAAACATTCTACCGCTGTTCGTCTTCCACAAATGCATCGATTAACAAAATAAATCCGTCTGCCATAATGATTTATTTAACAAATCACATTCAAATTCAAGTACACCTAACCTCAAAATATGAATTCAGGCGTTGAAAAGTCGAAAACAAGTACCTAATCGAGCTTGTTTAGTTTTCAACGGTTATTAGAAATAATTCAACGCCGTTGAGGTCACCGTAATCACAAATTATAAACAACGTTGACATTTTCTCAATAATTGATGAAATTTCAATGTCGGATACATTTCAATGGTCACCAGAATAAGGCCGATTGTGGGCATTTGCTCATGATAACATTATGAAAAAGTGATGCAGCATGATGGTGACGACGCTTACTCATGTTTAACCAACCTAACGTGATTAATTTATGACTAATTCGTTCGTATTTACGAATGCCAAAAATCAAACGTAGGCAAGAATTTTGAAGTTTCTGAACCCTACCAACGTCAACGGAGTCTAAACATGGACCATAAACAGTATCGCAATAATTAAATCTAGATAGTACAAGGATATTACAAATGCGAGCTTTCAGTTTTGTATTCATTAGATGCCTATGCTGGTAAATACGTTTTAGTATCCCATACGATGCGTTAAGGTTCTTTGTGACATGCTCCTTAAATCGTAATTGGTGGTCCATAATTAACCCAAGATTTTTTACTGAATCACTTAACGCAATATTTTGATTATTCAGAATCAATTTAAGATCAGGTAGGGCCTTTAGTCTCGATTGTTTTCTACCAAATAGTATTGATTGTGTTTTGGTAACATTTAATTGTAGATGATGTTCTTCCGAGGCTTTTTGTATCGATTCTAGATCTTCATTTATCAATTTACATGCACTCGTTGCTAGATCTGCAGGAAAAGATAAGTAAATTTGTGTATCATCTGCGTAAAAGTGCGATTTACAGTGTTTTAACTTATTAGAAAATGTTGACGTATATACCATGAATAAAAGTGGACCCAATACAGACCCTTGCGGTACTCCCCTCCATGTACGAAGAAAATCAGAATTTTCGCCGTTCAGACAAACTGATTGGTATCGGTCACTTAAGTAATCCGTAATCAATTTCATTGCCGGGCTACTAAAACCAATGTGATGCAACCGTGCCAGTAACAGATGGTGGTCTATTGTATCAAACGCTTTACTGTAATCGAGAAGCACCAGTAATGTTACTTCACCATTATCAGTTGCACGAATGATGTCGTCAGTAATATTTAGGAGTGCGGTGGTACAACTATGTCCCGGCCTAAATCCAGATTGGATGCTTGGAATTAATTTATTGATAGTTAAATATTTGCGTATTTGGGAATCTAAGACCTTCTCAAGTACTTTTGATAACACAGGCAATATACTAATAGGCCGTAAATCCCTAAGGTAATGCATTTAAAGGAATTTATTTATTTCAATACATTGTAGCGGAAGTTGGATTTTAAATATTTTAAATAGGTCCACAAACAAGACGGTTTTCCCTGCTTAGATCGTTCACTAAAATACGCCAAAACGCTGCTCCTCGTCGGTCATTTGGAGTCTCCAACAACCTCCAGGAAGCCCTAAATTCAAATGACTCCGCTACACTTACTGCCACAGTCCAGTACCTTAAAGCGACCAACCTGATTAATAAACTGTAAATAATTAAAATAATAATGTAGTTTTAAGGTGCTAAAAACAAAGGTACCTCCAAATAAAATGTCAAAAAAAAAAAGAATTTTTTCGTTCACAATCTTCAAGGAATTTTCCGATCGCCATTTACAAAACTTGGAGTATTCGTTTTCATATAATGTTTTTGAGGTCTCCGGCACTAACCCCTTAAGAGCATCTTCAGCTTCTTTTATTCCTTCCATGGGAACATCGTCATCTTCATTCCCTTTTCCGTTCTTGAACATAGCCAAACGACACAAAAGTTGCTTTCAAAATGACAGACGTAACATTTTTTGTTGTTTATATACGTAACTAGGTAACCATGGTAGTCGCACCCAAACCCATACGCAACAACGCGAATCAGATGTGAAATTTTTATTTGCAAATTAATTTACTTTTCAACAGCAATTCTACTATTATCAATAAAAAATAAAACGTAGAATGTACCATTGAATAAAACAGAGCATAATTCCCCTGGGGGGACGCAATATACCCTCGCGACTACGTCGCTCGGAGTATTACTGTTCCCTCAGGGAATTATACTATTGTTTTATCCCTCAATGCATTATCTACTATAAATTCTATCGTCGCAATTTTAGAACTTAAATAATCTTTTGATTGACACGGCAGTAGGGCGTGCAATTTTAACCAACAAACATAGAATGACGGAATCGATCCGGTCTATGCTGTGTAAGATAGTAATTGACTACTTGTTACGAAATAGTTATTTACATTATTAGTGCGGGAACAGTTATTTTGAAGATGAGCGCGAATCAAGCAAATACTGTTCACGCACGTAACATGTATTCTATTTTTTGCACGGATTAGTTAAATCGAATTTATATAATTTCAAATCCTTTTCGCGAGATTTTTGCGACATTATAATTCTATTGAAAAAATCAAGTCCTCTATGCCGATAAAGTAGAAATTTAAAATCGCGGGTGACCTGGCAATACCTCCTATCTGCCATTTTTTGTGAAAATGAGATATTGGTAGATTCATAATCGGCGCGTACTAATGCACCTATCTGTAACTTCTCCTTTCGTTAAATAAAGTTCGAAATGGCTGAAAAGTTGTATTTCAATTTCTCCCACTGAAATCTTAATGATTTTTGTCATGCAAAATCTCCTAAATCAACAGTTTATTAGGTGATGTCATAAGAGGATTGTACCTCCGTTCAAGTGTAGTGTGTTTAACGTCGAAAACTGGTTCTCGTTGGTAGGTGTTTTGCTTTTTGTTTCTATAATCCACTATTTGAATATTAAAAGATGAATTTGTGTACATTAAACGACTAAACCATAAAATTTACGTTAAAAATAACCTCAATTTATTTTCGTTTTCAGATAGGAGGTATTGCATTATACTGAAAGTACCTGGATAATTTTAATAGGAGAAAATAGCACATCGATTTTTTGTTGGATCCCCATTTAGAAGGTAAAATTTTTTGACTATCTCTTCAATCTATTTACTTTACATCCGTCATAGGCTGCCAAAGGTTTTCCGGACTCAAAATAGTCATGTTTTCAAGGCGCACTGAAAAAATTCTGTCATTGGCCCAATCGCAAATCGATGTTGTCGACTCAAGCAAAACTGAAGAGAAAGAATGTTTCGATTTAGAAAATGCATCTTTCATATTTTTAGACGACAACGTGGTCGTAGAAAGCAACATCGCTTTTTCCATTCATCCTGATGAAGTAGTACCTAACTTTGAAGACTGTTTAACTGATATAACCAATACTACTTCCACTACTTGTGATATAGGAGTTCCAAACCAAGTCGAATATAAGCAAACAGATCGTCTTGTTCCTTACGAAGATTCGAGTGATGAAGATCATGTCATAGAAAACATTGCAAATGAAGTTGAGAAAACTGTAGAAGACGACCATGAATCAAATGATGTGCAAGATAGTAGTACTTCATATGAACCCGAAAAAGATGATGCCAATAAATTAGAAGAAACTGTCATAAATGAAACAGAAGAAGTGAACGAAAATGAATATGATCAAGGGAGAAAACGAAGGCGTAAGGCGGAAAAAGAAGAATGGGTCCGAAATAAAAACAAAAGACTTCGAATGCAGGGAAAAGCGTACATAGGATTTACTAAAAAAAGAGGAGAAAAAATTAAACAGGACTGTCCACGGAGTGAAAGACGTTTAAAAGAGACATGTACATCAAAGAAATGTAGAATATTTAAAGTCAGATATTGCTCAGAATTTACGGATGACTGCAGAAGAAACATTTTTGAACGTTTTTGGCGCATGAATTGGGAACAAAGGAAGGTTTTTATTGCATCTCACGTTTTTAAAACCCCAACATTTAGAAAAGGCAAAGAGAACTCAAGGAGATTAGGCACCTACACGTATTACCTAAACGATGGAAATGAAAACTTACAAGTATGTCGGTCCATGTTTATTAATACGTTGGACATCGGGTATAAAACTGTTCAATACTGGGTAGATAATAGTTCATATGGTATGACGAAAGGGAATGAGAATAGAATTTCTGCTAAGGAAGTCGTTAAGCAAAGGTATGCAGAAAGTTACAAGTTTTTACACGAGTTTTTCAAAAGTTTACCTAAACTTCCTTCTCATTATTGTCGGCGCGATACTTCAAAGCTGTATTTGGAATACACTTTTCAAAATATGAACCAGTTATATGAAGTGTATGTGAATAATTTTTGCAAAGACAGAAACATCACTCCATTGGGTCGTAATGTGTTTTCAAAAACGTTTAAAGAAAAAAACTTGGCGCTATACTCACCGAAAAAGGACCAGTGTAATGTTTGTTTTTCATTCAAATATGGAAATGTCACAGAAAATGAATACAGGCATCACATCCTAAGGAAAGATGCTGCTAGAATGGAAAAACAAAAAGATAAAGAAAAAGCTGAGAAAGATGAAATTATTACATTGACTATGGATTTACAGGCAGTAAAACTATGCCCATATCTTCCGGCGAACAAAATTTACTTCAAAACAAAACTATGTTGCCATAACTTCACCATATTTGATTTAAAAACACGAAACGTTATGTGCTATTGGTTTTCCGAAAATGAAAATAGATTACTTAAAGCATCTACTTTTACCACCTGCATTATAGACTATTTGGAAGAAAATTGCATAACTCCAATGAAAAAGCCAATTGTATTGTATTCGGACGGATGTGGTTACCAGAATCGTAACAATGTCTTGGCCAACGCTTTACTCAATTTTGCAATGAAACACGAAACTTTTATTTTTCAAAAATACTTAGAACCAGGTCACACCCAAATGGAGTGTGACTCTGTACATAGTGTGATAGAATAGAAAGACGTCTTAAGCACAAAGAAATTCATTTACCAAGTGACTATGTGACAATATCAAAAGAAGCTCGAAAAACCCCCACGCCATATAAAACTAAAATGCTGGAGTACTCATTTTTTAAGGATTATTCCGCTTCCAAATTTTTGCGATACACTTCTTTAAGACCAGGTCGTAAGACTTCTGACCCTGTGATTAATGATATTAAGTGCATTAGGTATAATCCACAAGGAACCATAGATATTAAACTGGATTATGGCCAAGATTTATTTAATGAGCTTCCTTGCAGGCCAAAATGTATGCCTCCTATTATGAACTATCCTCAGTTACTGCAGGGACCTTCTAAAATTGCTTTGGATAAATGGAACCACCTTCAAGAACTTAAACTCGTTCTGCCAAAAGACACACATGCTTTCTACGATAATATTTTACATGAATAATTCTCCTCGCCAATTTATTTTTTTTAGTGATTATGAAACTTGCAGCTAGTTTTAGTTTATTTTATTCATGTTTATGTTTACATTAAAGTATTGTTTTAAAGTTTATTACCATGTATTAATTTTCCCTTGAGAAACCTACGTTTTGGGTATCATTTTTCTACAAAAATTTCTGTATAAGCTTGCTAAATTCAAAAAATTGTTGTATACTTAATTAGATACTGCATTCTCCTATGAGAACAAATTTCTGTAGCAAAAACTCCTATCTGTAAAAACATGAATAGCAATACCTCACAAGTTATATAAAAATAACACCGGGTAAGATTGTGGCGTTTTTATTAAATTTAGTATAATATAATAAACATTAAAGAATAACTACTTCACATTGTTGAAAAATACCATCTCTCTACAAAATTGACAAGTTTTTTTTGTCTCCTGTAAAACGTCTCTTAACCAACATAGGAGGTATTGCCAGGTCACCCGCGAAATGTCAATTTATTGTTAAAAACTTCTGGTTTAAGCTTATTTTTGCTCGTGTACTACAGGGAATGATGTAAAGTGTATTTATATTTTCTTTTTTACTCTTCCATCATACTACTTATTAGTTTATGATCCGCACTAAATAGATAATTTCGTTGAATTTTTAGGCACTAGTGCGCGAAAGTAGATAGTCAATTGTAAAATTAACGTTCCCGACGTTCGTGTTTGATTGGGAAAACGCGATTTAGAACGAAGGAGTGCAAAAATATAATTACAAGAAGTGAGATTATACAGAAGTAATTTTTTGGGGTATATAAAACAAAACTTTTTAGAATATTACAGTTTGACCTTGAAGCAGCTTCAATAAAAATTGAAAAATTGTTTCCAGGCGAAAAACGAGGCATATATTTTATACCATATAAGAAGCGTAGTGTGAGTGGCCCAAAAAAGCAGTGTTCGGGGAAATTATGGAGTCACTATGTAAATATGAAGTTATACCTGAGAGAACTCAACGAGACAGGTATAACAACATATGTATCTTTTATATCAAAACTTAAGATATTTGATGTAGTAGTTGATTACCTTGTTGCTAAAACAAAATTAAAAATCAATACTTGTTTTTCTTCGACAGGCATTTATTTGGCCTTACAATCCTGATGTCTTCACGGAAGAAGATTTCACGCCTGCTTCTGTAACTGATTTGTCTAGAGCCCCTTCGAATTCAAATGAAATGTCCACACCCTTACCTTCTCATAATATTGAAATCATTGTGGATGATCCAGAATTGCTGGCACTCATAAATGGCACCGCCGAAGAAATACCTTCCTGTGAAGAAGCCCGACATCTGTCTCCTGTACCAAGTATGAGTGGTTATGCTTTGACGGAAGCTAAAACGAAATCTCCGATTGTTGAATCAAAGCAAAAAGCTAAACCACAGGCTAATCGTAAATACGATGAAAGTTATTTACAATACGGTTTTGTGGCGAAGTCCGGCACAGAAAATAGTGACAATCCTATTCCCCAATGTGTTGTTTGTTTTGAAACGCTTTCGAACCAAAGCATGAAGCCGTCTCTACTGGGGCGCCACCAAAACACAAAACACGCTAATTTGGTTGGTAAGCCGGTTGAATTCTTTAAAAGAAAATCTTCTTGTTTAAAGAAAGAAAATAAAATACCAATTTAGTAAAGGCGTCATACCTTGCTAGTTATAGAATTGCAAAAGATGGAAAGCCTCACACAAGAGGTGAGACACTATTACTACCGGCTGCTGTGGATATGGTTGAAACCGTATTAGGAGAAAAGGCGGCCAAAGAAATTAGAAAATACCATTGTCAAACAACACGGTGAAGAGGCGTATTGGCGATTTGTCATGTAATATTGAAGAACAACTATTTTTAAACCTTCAAGAATGCACATATTTTGCACTTCAAGTTGATGAAAGCACCGATGTCACAAATATGGCACAACTACTTGTGTTCATACGATTTCATTATCATCAAAAAGTAATAGAAGAGTTTTTGTTTTGTAAACCACTGGAATCGAACACTACAGCGGAACAAATTTTTAACATAATTAATGAGTATGTGCTCAAAATAGGCATTTCTTGGTCCAAATGCATTGGCTTGTGCACAGATGGAGCAAAAGCTATGTCTGGAAAATTGACGGGACTAGCAGCAAAAATAAAAAAGGTTGCTCCTGATTGCAAAGTACTCATTGTGTCATCCACCGCGAAGCATTAGCTGCTAAAGGAATGCCAGAAAATCTGAACTCCGTTTTAGCTGATGCTGTGAAAGTGATTAACTTCATAAAAGCTAGAGCTCTTAACTCAAGATTATTCTCCTTGATGTGTGATGATATGGGCGGCAAGTTCAAAACTCTACTTTTGCATACAGAAGTGAGATGGTTATCTCGAGGGAAAATTTTCACCCGGCTATTCGAATTGAGGTCAGAAGTTTTAATGTTTCTAAGTGAAAAAAATAATGACATGCAAAACTTGTTTCATGACGAAGAATGGTTGTCAAGATTGGCATATCTAGCTGACATTTTTGAGAGACTCAACATGCTGAACATGGGACTTCAGGGAGCAAACACAACGCCCTTCACAGCCAATGACAAAATAAACGCCTTCAAGAAAAAGTTAGTCCTGTTTTGTTCCCAAATAGAGGAGAATGAATTCTCTGCATTTCCTACGATGTCATCCTTTTTGGAAGAGAATGAACTATCGCCATCTCCAGATGTGGTGAATGATATAATTCTTCACTTGAAATCTCTTCAAGAAAGTTTTTGCAAATATTTCTCCGAAGATTATTCCAAATTTGATTGGATCAGAAATCCTTTTTCAGGAACTTTACCAAATGAGTTGGAATTAAAGGAATGTTTCATCGACTTGACAGAAGACAGTTCGATGAAAGACAGCTTTAAAGAGAAATCTTTAATTGACTTCTGGATTGGATGTAAAACTGAGTATACAACGCTCTTCCGCGAAGCTATGCTAGTTTTGATGCCATTTGTAACAAGTTACTTGTGTGAAAGTGGATTTTCTGAACTTTTATACATTAAAAACAAACATAGAAATAGGCTCAGTGTTGAAGAGGACTTAAGAGTAAAATTAAGTTCAATCCCTCCTGAAATTGACACTTTAATTACCAGAAAACAACAACAAGTTTCCCACTAAACTGAATAAATGTTGATTTTAGGTTATTTTGATGTTTTTTTCCTCTTAGTTTGTACTATCGTATAACATTGAACTATGTTTTTATAGCTATAATAAAAATTTAAGATGGTGGTAAGCCAAAATCTTTAAACATTTTCATGTGGTACGCAGTTGCTAAAAGGTTGGGAACCCCTGGTGTAAGATATCGGGCCAATGTTTTTGCGTGATGTTATTGGAGACTAAGGTTAGGTTTTCGCAGGCGTTGTTTATTTCTAAGAGCAAATTGCCGTGACGTATAAAGTATGGCATCTCACCCGTCTATTGGGATAGATGGCATTAATTTTTGCGGTACAGAAGCCCCAGTGGCATAGGGTGACCATACGTCCCGGATTTCCGGGGACGGTCCCTTGATTTACAACCTTGCCCCCGGTTGAAAAATGTCCCCGGATTTCCAGTTTATTGAAAACGCTTGGCAACACGCAACATGGCAAAGCAAAGTGGTTTCGACGACTTTTTCCGGCGATTGCGCCCATGCGCTGTCAACAACGGTACTTCTACTTCAGTCTTTCAGTGATCACCAGTTGGAAAGGTTGTGTTGTGTAGTAGTTCTAGCTAGTTTTCAATTTCAATTACTTTAGGTATAGTATAGCTAGTAAACAAACATACGGGTAACCGGTAAGTAGATTTGCAATGATTAAGCAGCTTTTTTTCATTTGAACGTATTTATGATTGATTAGGATTACATACAAGGTTATGTTATGGAATCTAAGAAAAGAAAACGATTATGTGAATTCAATGATAATTTAAAGTCGATGTTTCCATATTTAACGGCCCTCTCTAAGTAATAGTAAATTAGATAAGCAAACGTCAGTCCTCTGTTCAATATGCAACAGTGTGTTTTCGATAGGAAGTGGAGGCAAAACCTCTGTTACAGAGCATGAACGTACCGCTAAACATAAAAGCTCCTTATCAGCTAGAGCATCATCTTAATTGACTTCTTTCTTCAAAAAGAGCTGTCCTTCAAATGAAGAGTATAATTTAGCTATTCAAGAAGGCACTTTTGCATACCACGTTGTTAATCATAACCAAAGCTTCCGTTCAATGGACTGCACGAGTAGTTTAATGAAAATATTTTGTAACAAGAAGTTTACTGGTGCTAAAACAAAATGTGAAGCAATAGTAACACACGTTTTTGCTCCTTGGGCCAATATGGAGATGGTTAAAGATTTATCCGAGATTAACTTTGTGTCTATATCCATAGATACTTCCAATCATGGAAATATAAAATTATTACCTGTTATCATTCGATACTTTAATCCTGACGAAAAAACTATACACACTAAACTACTTGATTTTATTGAGGTAACTGGTGAAACTTCGGAGAGGATTTCTACAGATGTATTGAAGGTAATAGCGAAATATGAATTAAAAGACAAAGTGGTCGCCCTATCAGCAGATAACACAAACAGGACGTAGAAGGGATGATATCGAAAATATTTGGATATATTTTGATATTTACACGGTTCGAGTGGCAAGACTGAAAGATTTCTGCGAATTTGTAGGTCAAGAATATGCCAAAATCTTAGGACATCTGTCTGTCAGGTGGTTGTCACTAATACCAGCACTTAATAGAATTTTGCAAATGTACGGACCTTTAAAATCGTTCTTTTTATCTGAATCACATTGTCCCGTAATTCTCAAAAATCTTTTTGATAATCTAACAACCGAGTTATGGCTTCTATTCGTTCATGGCAACTTTAACTTGTTTAACTTTGTTTCACGATACGATAAAAATTTTGGAAACAGATGACAGAAATGTTATTGAATCAGCGCAAATTATGTATGATCTTCGCAAAAAACTTCAGTCACGAAAAGATGAGAAATTTATACCAGTAATGGTGAAACCACTTCTAACGAAACTTGAAGAAGAGGGCATTCTCACCCGTTCATCCTAATTCAATGTGTCAGATTTGTTTTATGTGAGATCTGTTGAATATTTGAATTCATGGTGCAAATTTTCTGAGTGCCATCTCTCCCGAACATTATTAATTACTACTATGCATTGTCTTTGTACTTATTAAAAGTAATTTTGTGTTTGCGTGATAACGTTTTCAAATCTTCAGAGGCATTTAACTGGGGTTCTATTATATTTTACTATTAAATATTTATAGATGCCAACTAAATATCTCAGAAAATCGGGATCGACATGAGGTTCCTGGACCGAAGATGCTATGCGCAGCGCGATAGAAGCTCTTAGAAATGGAATGGGCATAAACATGACCTCAAAATCTTAGGGTAAGAACATGCCGAAGATGCTCTACTGCGCTACCTTGCACCTTCACTGCGATACCTCGATGTTTAACATGGATGTTGAGTGTTCATACCCGTTCACCATCGCGGTCGATACAGCGATGTAATCTCCCACTCCATTTTTCGAGATTTTCATTTATTTGTTAACGGTTCCCACGAAACAATGTTCTCTAGTGACAGTAAGTGTGAATTTATGTCATCAGCGGTAAAGTGGTGGATTTTAGGCAGCTTATCAAACCGGAGGTACAGTGCACACCCGGTGAATGAAAAGAGGCAAGAGCTTGGGGAATATCACCATCTTTTCCAAGAACTGAAGAAAGACGAAGAAAAATTTTACAGTTACACGAGAATGTCAATTGAAACATTTAATTATATACTCAATAAAATTGAGTCTGAACTGTATGTCTTGGAATATAACAACTTACATACCAATCCAATTCTGGCTGAGGAAAGACTGGTGCTGACTTTAAGGTAAGTTGAACTTTATCAAATAACGTCCTTTTGCAATTTAGTACATGAAACAACAATCAAAGTATGCGTAGGTATTTATTACAAAATAACTGTATTGAAACAACAAATACAAAAATACTAAACTTAAAAAAAAATACTTAAAAAAGGATTAAAGTTCCAAGATTGTATAATCTGTTGTATAAGTATCAGATGCCTGTTGAATTATTGTTTCTTCCTGAGTAATTTGATTATGTCGCGAAGTAGACGTTTGTACGGTAGTAGAAGGTTTTGCATTTGACACTTTTGGATTTTCCGTTTCTGGAAATGCAAGTTCGAAGAGTGTCTTCTGCACCTTCATTCGAAAAATGAATTTATCTTTATCAGTTTTTTCACAGTTGGTAATAGTGAATTAAAAAAACCAATATCTTCGTCATTAACGTTTTGAATTTTTCTTTTTTTTTGCCAACTCTAGTTTCTGTGTTTCTAGAGACAGCAATTCTTTTCCAATTATAGCTTGTGCTGTTAATGGTTTTCTGTATCCAGTTCTTGAGACTGACTGAGGCTCACTGGATAAAGATGTCGGCGTTTGAAGAAAGGGCTGTCGATCAGAAGTAGACTCCAGACCGTGTGAACTGAATACAGTATCCACACTCTCCTGACGGATATCTCGCTCCTCATCGACATCGTCACTGTCACTGACCTCTTCAGTATTTTCAGTATTTTGAGTATTTTCAGGCCGTGTTAAATTTCCCGATGAATTCCGGGGGGTAAATTGATCTTTTAAAAATTGTAATTTTTGGAAGAACGGCCATTGACTTGCAGCTTCCTCCGGTGCTCCATCACCAGACCTTCCCTGGTACTTTTTAAACTGTTTACCGAACTCCTGTCTAAGGTTTTTCCACAGAGATTTTACCTCCGTAACTGTAACAATTTAATAAATTAACAAAATTCGTAGAAATTGGAAATGTGAACATAAAAATATAATAAATAAAACTAAAAGTATAATAAAACTAACTTAAGATTTATCGAACGAACTTTATCTCATTGTAAAAATTTGAAATTGTTTATAACACTTCGTTTTGATTAATTTGCAGGTATCTCGCTACGGGAAGCAGCTTCAGACAGTGTTGCCAACTATTTGTGATGCTTTACCACCACCACCTTAGTAAAATACCGCTCTTTATAAAGAAAAGCCGCTACGGCGCTACGTGAGATTGTATTGTAAATTTTTTTAGTAAGGGTGATCCAATCAGACAAAAACAAACTCCACATAAACAATGTTTTGGCACGTAAACCAAATGGTTTTATTGTCAAATAATATATACAATATATACAAGCGGCTCGGATCGTAGGCGAAGCGTGGTTTCAGCGGGTCTGAGCTGGCGGATCGATCGGGGAGTAATGGTCAGCTGTAGACGGAGCCGGTAGTCGAGGTCGCGTTCGGCTGTAGGCGGCTGGAGCTGTTGAAGATCTCGAAGCGCGGATGCCACTGCTCTCTGCTCGCAGGAACGCCGCGTCGTGTGCTGTCATTGGCCGGTACGTTTCGCCAATGCGATGGGCGCTAGGGCTCACTACGGAACAAGCCGGCACACGCTCGCCACAAATGTTTTTTATTTAAATTACAACGAACTTGACCAAATGCCAACACAAAGTGAAATAAAATAACGAAAAATGAAAATTTTTGTCTATTTATCTAAACTAAAAAATAAAATAACTCAAGGTGGGAGATTTTTATAATAATAGAGACGCTTTGTTTATCGTTTTGTGCAAATTTGCACGTTTTACAACTTGCAAGTTGTAAAGACGTCAAAGACGTTAAGAGTGTTAAGACGAGGGAGCTGATATGACATAAAACAGTTTATATTGCACCAACAAAGATGATTCATTTTTAAAGGCGACCATCTGAATCATCGAATAAGTAAATGGTCCCCTTTGTTAATGTGCAAGTCTTTAAGACTCTAAAAATAAGACAATATTCAGAATGGCAGTTTATAATTGATAAAGACGATGACTAATTTTTAAAACAGAAAATCTCACGTCTTAAATAAGCAATTCCCTAATTTATTTCTTGTACACATTACGTTCTACGATATTGCAAATAACTTGTCTAGAGTAATTACACATTTCCTATTCTTACGATAAGTAAATTTCCGCTACTTTGAAAGAATTAATCTCATGCCGCCGCTACGCCGCTAAAAGCATCACCAAACCGCTACGGTAGAGGAATTCCGCTACGGTTGGCAACACTGGCTTCAGAACATTGGCTTTTTCTTTTAGAATGGGAGCTTCTACCGTTAGCAAAATCGTTTACCAAGTATGCAACATTCTTTGGACAACACTACAACCTATTCACATGAGAGCACCTACAACGTCGTACTTTTTATGTGCTGCAGAGGAGTTTGAAAGACTGTGGGATTTTCCCAATTGCATTGGTTCTTTGGATGGGAAACATGTCAGAATAAAGTGCCCAGCTCACTCCGGCTCGATGTTCTACAACTACAAATCGTATTTTTCAATAGTTTTGCAAGGATTAGTTGACGGTCACTATAGGTTCATATCTATCGACGTAGGAGGTTACGGAAAGCAGAGTGATGGAGGTACCTTCAGTGCATCTACCTTATCGAAACTGTTGGAAAATAATAAATTGGGAATACCATCGCACAGGAAACTCCCCAGTAGTGACTATACTCTACCATATGTGTTCATCGCCGATGAAGCCTACCCTTTGAAGGAAAATCTAATGAAACCTTATTCAGGTACCTCACTGACAGCAACGCAGGAAAATTTTAACAAGCGATTGTCACGGGCTCGCAAAACGGCAAAACTGTCGAATGTGCATTTGGCGTTATTTTTTCAAAATGGCGATTGTTGTCGGGGGTTATTGAAATCAAAGAAACAGCAGTAGATACTGTGATCAAGACGATATGCATTCTTCACAACACAATAATTGATAAGGAGGGCCATCACAGTTTCAATGGCATGGACGTCCCACAAATTCCTTCCCAGTGTATGCTCCGACGTAATAGAGCAAACAATCCTTCAACGCGGAACGCGAAAACAGTACGAGATACATTCGCTGAATATTTTTCCCTTAATGCTTAATAACTGATTACTAATAAATAATGATAATTATAATTTGTATTCATTATACTCTTTTTTAATATAATAGAATTAACTTAAGACCTACATCTTCTTTTTAGAATAAATAAATAAATAAATAATTACATAAGTAAAACTTACCGGTCATCTCGAGTTCAGCTCCAATCTTCTTCCATTCCTTGGCCAGAGTATACCTATTATGGTGTTGCTTGTGCCGCTTATCCCACAACGGAGGAACATTAAAAACTAATTCAATTAAATTGTGCTTTTTAACATCCATTTCTTAAGCAAAGTACAAATAGTAAACACGCCAAAACACTACACCGAAGTAACGCGTGTATACGCTACCGCTTGAGGTGGCGTAAGCTAATTCAACCAATCAGAGCCGAGTCCACATCGCTACATCGATGTAGACCGCAAGGAAAAACAAACTATTTTGTTTCTCCGCAGGCATCGCGCAAAACCTCCATGTAGACCGCGAGGTATCGCAGTAAAGCATCTTTCGGTATGAACACCAACGTTCTAAAATATAGGTTTGATTTGACATCCATGTATCGTTGTAAGCGGCGATGGTGCAAGGTAGCGAGGTATCGCAGTAGAGCATCTTCGGCATGTTCTTACCCTTATGACATTCCATCTAGAACCCTGAGGCGCCGCTTGGCAAACAACGATTCCTCGAAAAAGCCTCTGGGACCCTAGGGACAGAAAATTAGCTAAAATTGGTAGCACATATTAAAAAGCTTCAAGCCAGGGGATTTGCTCCCACAAGAGATGACCTTCGTTCTCTGGCCTACGTTTTTGCAACAGAAATGAAAATACAGCACAGGTTTAACCGTAACACAGAACGCGCAGGGTACGATTCGCTATATTTATTCCTCATCCAGATTTATCAGTTAAGAAAGCGGAGGGAGTTTCACTTGCAAGAGCTGAGGGTATGTCTAGAGAAAGAACCATGTCTTTTTACCAACTTTTGCGTGAGGTCTACGAAGAAAATTCCTTATTCGATAAGCCAGCAGCTATATTTAACATGAATGAGACAGGGTTGCAATTAAATAATAAAGTAAGTCAAGTGATAGCTCAGAAGGGGTCTAAAGATGTAGCCGTTGTCACATCAGCAGAAAAGGGGGAAACCATCACGGTAATTGCTTGCTGTAATGCGGAGGGCGTTGTTTTTACCCCCTGTTTCAAGACGGCATGCCTAATGGGTCAGTGGTCTATATGAACCAAAAGTCAGCATATGTTAATGCAGACATTTTTCTTTTGTGGCTAAGAGAACATATTTTGCCCAGGAAGGGACCTGGAAAGGCACTCCTGATAGTCGATGGACACACATCCCATTGTAGCGCCGACCTATTGGAATTGGCTAAGAGTAATGATGTCATTTTGTCGTGTTTGCCGAGCCATACCACACACTATCTTCAGCCTTTGGATCGTGGTGTATTTAAGTCACTTAAATGGGGATTCAATAAAGCCTGCCATCTTTACATGAAGTCACAACCCAGTAGAAAAATAACTCGGTTGCAATTTGGTGCCCTATTATCTGCAGCATGGACACAAGCAGCAACTAACAATAATGCAGTTTCATTTAGGGCAACAGGAATTTATCCTTATAACCCTGATGCAATTCCAGAACATACTTATGCTATCTCTGATGCTTCACTTACTTCTCAAACCCCTCCAGCAGATCAGTCGCCAACCTCTAATAAATCCACGTCTGAAACTACTGCGGTATCTTCTGTTAATAGATCTACAGTTCCCGATCCTCAACCAGGTCCTTCTACGGCACCAGATCTACCTCCTTCTGGTGGAAAAATGCTTAATATTATATCTCCTCTTCCTACCATTCCTATAACCTTAAAGAAAAGGGGCCGTAGCATTGCAACAGTACTAACTAGTCCTGACAACATAGAAAGTCGCAGAAACAGAAACGAACAGCATCTAAGCAGACCCCAAATATTAAAAAACTGAACTACTCTACCAAACGAAAAGTTCCTACATCTGGTTCTGAATCTGATGAAGATGAAGCGTACTGTAATGAAGATGATGTTTTAGACGAATTTGATGAAAATGAGTGCGTCGGGTGTCTTGAAAACTACAACACAACATCTAAACGTGATGACTGGCTGCAGTGTGTGAAATGTAACCGATGGATGCATGAGAACTGCACCAAATACGAAAATATGTGTGACTATTGTGGAAAGTACTGTAAAATGAAGTCTTTATAATACGTTATTGCTGTTTGTACTGAAGCATGGAAACTCGTTAGTGCCATCTCTCCCCCACATATCGAGAGAGATGGCAAATTTTATTTTTTAGTAAAAAAATTTTTTTTCGAATACTAAGCCAAATTTGAAATGTTTTGTTTGTTTTATAGTGATAATAAACTTCGTTCTTTATATTGTATAGCCATTTTATTTTTTAAGAAATTATAGCCGACAATACTTTAAATAATTTGAATTGTGGGGCATCTCCCCCGGAATTACCCTAATGGTTTAAAATCCTTTAAATTTAGTCTTTCATTAAGCAAAAATTCAGTATATTCGATTTAAACTGGAAAATTTTATAAATAATTTTGTCGGATCTACAAAATTTTTCCTAAATATAAAGGCTTATGTACAGAATACTAAGCAAAAACACCGTATCCATCATGTACATCCGGCGCTTTTGTTTAGCGAAACGCAAACGCGGTTTTCTTCACTGTTTTGTTATGTACGTAAGGCGTTTTTATTTAGTAATTATTCTATATAATGATGGATTCAAAGGTGACTAGTTGTATTTAGTCATTTTGAGTGAACACAATGTCGAAGCGTACAAAACAGATTCTTGATAATGCCAAGAAACAAGAGCAATAGTGTCATGTCTCAAAAAACGCTGTTGTTCAGGAGAACCCTCTAAAAATTCATGAAAACATTCAGGTACAAAACTTGTGTAAGAAATATATGTGTTGAAATGAAATTCGGTATGTAGGGGCATTTAGGGATTATCTACACTTGCCTGAAAATTTTCTGGCTGAAAAAATTTTTGTTTTCAAAAAAATCTTACATGCGACTCTTTTGATCTGGAAACTTAGTAATATTTTGAAGATGGGTTACACAAAAATTAACAAAATTATACGAAAAAATGGTTATTTTAATAAGTTTTATTGGTTTCTTTCTTTTGCACTAGAATGTACGTCGTTACAGGTTTTCATAAAAATCTTTATAATATTGCGGCATTACCGAGACTCCAGTTTTTTTTTGCAAAAAGTGACATTAGGCTTTGCTTCTTTTTGGATGTTATACCTACGTTCTTACTGTAAGCTTTCTTCAAAGTTAGATCATTTTTGTTTTGGGGACGTGAAGGTGTACGTTTGCTCCGAATTTCTTTATTTCGCGCTCAATCAATGAATGAACATTATCGCCTTCATTTTGGGTGTGGCCACACACTAAAAATTTGTGGGTAATCGAATTTATATTTTCTAACGTTAACACTGCGTGAACGTATAAAGTGAAGACAAACCTATTTTTGTTTTGTCCCACGCAATTATCGCTATACAGTATGACATCCACTTTGGTCAAGGCTTTTGCATTTACATTCTCAAGATAATTCCATAGACACGAACTTATCTCATTTGCTCCTCTGTTAGCAAGACCTTCGTGCCAAGTGAAGCAAAAAGTTTGAGTCGTTTTGAGCTCAAACACTGTGAAGTTGTATACATTTAATTTAGACACGTAGTAGAATGACGAGGAATTATCAATTGGGCATGGGAGTGCAGCTTGTAAATCAAAAACTGCAACGATTTTTTCAGGAGAGTCCTTATCATTTTGCTGTTCTACCCTTGAGAGATTTTTTTCTTGAATATGGTGATCATATTGCTGCATAAGGTGGCTTCGCTGCTCTTCATTTGAGTTGTAATAGCTATTACAAAAATCGCATTGGTCTTTTTTCGGAACGTGGAAAGAGATGTTGAACTCTCCTTTGAAAATAGAGACATACATTGAATAATTCACGTGTGGTTTGTTTTCCTCTGCTGGTTGCATTTTCTTGGCATCTTTCTTTACTACCACTCGTTCTTTAGACCCATCTGCTTTCGTTAGGGATTTGAACGATGTATATTCCGCACCACTGTTTCTCAGAGTTTTTCTCATATTTCTTTGCCATATATATATATATATATATATATATATATATATATATATA